CATTTTCACAATAGACATTTATACACCATTCGATAGAGAATTTCAAGGGCTACATTTTACACTATTTATATTTGATATACGAATTATTTGAATTTTCGGCCTAATGTCCGCTTGGATGCCCACTGTGGTACGCTTTTATGGTTGCACATAGTGTTTAAAACTCGCAGTTTTTTTTCTATAAGAGCTTTTGATATAAGTCCTTTAATACTTTGTAACTAAGTGACAGTGCAACAAATGTCGAAAGAAATATCCAACTGGCAATAACTGTTGGTTTTATGCGACTAAGCCGGGGAGGTGTTTTCTTCGTTAATGACGGATCTGGTAACAGAAATCAAAAAGCTTTTAAATCTAACTGTACGGAGATCTGATTTTTTGATAGAAGTTATTTCATACTAAAAGTGGCAGCAATGCATAAACATTCTTCTCTGATGATTTGAGTCTGACAGTTTTAATTTTTGTCTTCCAGTTTTGCTCTAAAAGCTAACAGGCTAAAAGCATTTCGATTGTAGTTTATCAACGAGTGGATGAGCTTTTCATATTATAGAAACTTATTTTCTAGCTCATTTCCGATGATCATATGTCATATATGTAACTTATACGAAACATTTTGAAAAAATAGGTAATAAACAAAAAGTGTGATAATAAAACAGCAGACAAAATTGTAATGCAAAACAACAGATATAAACAACAAAAAGAAAAAAGAATACAGTAGAACATTCAATCTCGTTTATACGCCAAAAATATAACAAAAATAATAGCGCAATAGTATACTCTTGATCCAAGTATTGCTAACATTCTTTATCTTTTATACATTGAAAGTTTCAATTTATCACAATTTGATTGATTGAATAGCAGAAGATAAAAGATTTTACTTCAGCGTTAATTTCGAATTTTGAGTTGTTCGCAAGTTTATGTATTAATTTGACGAACACAATCATACTGATATGGATTCGTTTGATATTTACATATTTCTCTCACATGATTCTTGATATGAAATTTGTCGACAATAAAAGCCATTGTCTTTAACAGATCTGTTATTGGTGTTGCATTAACTGAAACAAAAAATTGCACGCGAGCTAGCTAAAAATGAAGTTTTAAAAGGATCGATGTGACAATCTGAATAAACATAAAAAGCAGTTGAATAACTGCACTTTAAGGTGTAAATTATTAATATGAATAATAGGACTAAAGTCAGAAAACGTGGGAAAAACGGAGAAAAAAATATATGAATGATGAAAATCCTATTCAGAAAATGTTTAACTGGAAAATTTTACGAGAGTAAACCTCTTTTCAGTTTTTAACCCGAAACAATCCATTAGTAGACTCTCTTTATTATTCGTTTTGTTGCATTAGATGCAATCACCAACACCTTTGAGTTCCAATTATTATTATGCCTCTTTTGGAATCAATGTTGCGTAAATTCTGGAAAAGGCTGTTCCAGCAAAAGCTGTCATAGGATAAAAATGTCATCTTCGTATCTGACGTATATATCCATTAGTGTGGACAAAGTGTCTAAAGACGAACTGACGAATCGCAATATTTGAGCGTAAAAATGATACAATAATTCGCATTTTACCATTGTTTTGCAAATTCGTAATTCAGTACGAACTGATGCGAACTGACAAAAATTATGAAAAGATAACCAAAATAGGTACCTCTTTTGTTCCTCTTGCCAAGTCGTAAACTGGGATGAATTCGTAGGGAAGAAATTTCGGGTACCCAAGAATTCGTAAATCAAATTGGTCGACTATCGACGAATTTGTGAAATGATCTTTTTGGTCCCCAAGAATTCGTATACGAATTCCTAAATTGGCAAAAATACGATAAAGTGTGAATTTACGAATTCGTAGATGCCAGAGCCTATCTTCATCCATATGTATATTCATTCATACATATGGATGAATTTCTCTTTTTGTTTTGAAAACGGGCGCTTGAAGATCGAAAACTGTATCAATACACAGATGTATATACCTAGGATTTGACTTATTATTCAAAAGTAAGCTTCATCAAGGAGTTCATATAGGCCACGAACTATTCACATCCTTAAATAACTTCCATACGTACTTGATGCTTGAGTAAGAAAACGTGGATTGTTAGAATATTTTGATATTGTTTCGTTAATATTTTCGCATGTAAATAGATCGACTATCTTGCCTTCACGTTTTATTAAATTTAGAATTGTCTGTACCAATCCAGATTCGTATTTAACATGATAAGTTAATTCGAGGATATTACAAATGTCATCAAATTTTGTTTTTATGCAGTTGTCCAAAAATTAATCGATATTAACAATAAGATTTAAATGTTGTAATGGAATTTTTCTGTTTATTACAACAATAAACTGTTCTTGTTCGTTGATCATGACATTCTGCGCAAATTGTGCCATCTAAAGTAAAAATATGCAAAAAAGTTATCTGAGTTCTTGTAGATATGTAATGTCGGTCATGAAAGTACGAAATTAAAGAAGAATATTTTTCATTTAAACATATATTTCGCTTCCAAACAACGATTTTTACAATTAAATTTTATACATAAGTGAGCAAAACATAGAAGTTCTATTACAAAAAAGTCCAGCTTTCAAACGAAAATTCTACTTTATGCATTAAATTAATTATAGAACTTCACAATCAAACTTTTAAATAAAAAATACAATGAAAACACATTGTAAGTATTGGAGTATATGTTACAGTGGAAATTAAAATTCAGTGGAATTTTAAATTCCACTAGTGAAAATTAAAATTTCAATCTTCACTAGTGGAGTTTAAAATTTCAATTTCCACTGACAAGAATCCAGTGGAAATTGAAATTTTAAGTTCAACTAGTGGAGAATAAAATTTTAATCTCCACTATAGTGGAAATCAAAATAGTAAAAGAAAGGAAAGGAAAGAAATACTTATAGATTTAGGTAGTATAGAAGTTCACACAGTTAGTTATAAGTCATAATGGAGATATTTTATGAAAAACTGGATGCGCACATACTCAAATTTGATGCGAAATAAGTATTAATGTGATTTGATGGGTTTACTTAGGTCAAAGATCATTATGCGTGGGTTCCATGGGACGTCGTTGTTTTATTTATTTCGCTGTGTGATGCTTGTAGCAATCGTCAAGGATTTTGTCAAGGATATTTGTGATTGTTAATAATATTTTCAATAAAAAGATGGTATTACCTTTACTATCAGCATCATGTCAGTCAAATTATAATTTCCACCATAGTGCAGATTGAAATATGAGTATTAGTCATTTTTGCCTAGTGGAATTTAAAATTCCACTATAGTGGAGATTAAAATTTTATTCTCCACTAGTTGAACTTAAAATTTCAATTTCCACTGGATTCTTGTCAGTGGAAATTGAAATTTTAAACTCCACTAGTGAAGATTGAAATTTTAATTTCCACTAGTGGAATTCTAAATTCCACTGAATTTTAATTTCCACTGTAACATATATATGTAATCAAGGTCCGTTTGAACTTAAAAAAATTCAAACCCCTAATATCCAAATAGAGAGCAACAAATTTCACCATACAACCACTTATGTAATAACGATACAAAAGCAATTGGAGCAGAAACAAACAAAAAAATTAAAAAACGAAAAAGAATCAAATACAGACACATCTCAAAAGTTCTTTCCTTAAATTTCTGATTACGAGATAACCGCTGGTGAGAAAAAAACACTGCTGAGCCAATGCAGTGGCCGTTTAATGTATTTTCAAATTTAAGCGAATAAAACCATAATCATAACCCATGTTTAGTCACAAGTTATTTAGAAGAAGAGAGTTTTGAAATACTATCTTTCACTTGGATTTAAAAATATAATATAAAAATATCACTTTCGACACAAAAAACTTTTTCAGGTTAGACGTTAAAAATTAATTAAATTGGCTTTATTGAGAAACGAAGTTGACTCACTCAGACTATTTCAGAACTAGTCCAATGAGGGGCTACGTTTCTTTCTATCAGCCGTTATCACACAAAACTGAAACACTCACCTAAAATCAGTAAGCTGTTTTGTCTTCGATCAAAAGGAAACATCAGAAGAAAACTGTAAAGACGAAAAACACGATAACGAATACAACAACAAATGGTTGTACACATTTAGGGCAAACGTGAGAGTGTTAATTGTTTTTGATCGATTGCGGCTTTCTCTACTGAGGTTAATTTTATGCGACGTTTTCTGGTTAAATGTTCTACTTTCATATTTTCAGCTTCTTGTGGTTGTTGTGAATTTGGCTGATGCAATTCATCACTGTTGTCTGGTTCTAAAAGAAATACTTGAGAATGGAAATATAAGCACTTGAGAGTCAACGCACAGACTTATTTTAGTGCGTAATAACGCCCCTTCCTTTAAGAATTAGAAACAAACAAAAATTAAAAAGAGTTTTTTTTAAAACTTTAGCAAAATATTCGGTCTAATGAATGAATATCGAATTTTTGCTTTAATTAACTACGCAAACTGCTTTCAAATAAAAGGTTTTTCTAATTTGGTTTTCACCTATTTGATTTGAAAAAAGTTAAGAAAGTTTTTTTATTCAAATGAATTTTAGCTGCTTCTCTTCTATCCGAAACAGATCCAAGTTCTTTTCTACCTTCGTTAAACATACAGACTGAAAGTAGATTTTTTCCTACCTATCCGAACAGATCAAAGGTATGGTTTCTTATTTCGTCCTTCTCATGTGCTCAGAACCTGTTGAAGCAAATACCACAAACCTTTTAGATATTTCTAAGATTTTAGGAAAATAGAGTAATGCTGTGTTGAATTATTTTGATTTTATTATGACTCCGAAAATCAGCGACGTTATTTATTCAAAGTTTTTTCAGTTTCTGTTTATGACGGTTTAAATTCGTACTTTTTTAGTACGGTCTTTCCTCTTAATGCAATGCCAACTTCTTTTCACGCTTTGATTTTCACTCCGCATTTACCTTTTTCCTTGTCAGTCGTTCTTGACTTTTTGGAACTCGGATTTTTTGCCAAATTTGGATCAATGTTTGAAACATATGTGGAATACGGTGGACTTTGTAACAATGTTAATGCTACACTTGTTATATTTGTGTTATTTTTTGTATCAACATTTGTTAATGTGTCGTAATATAACTGAATATTATTAATATCAAAATAAGTTAATTTTAATGCAAATTCCACTTCATCAATTCTTTTTGATGGTAAGAGCTTCAAATATGATTCAACAAAATTTACGTTGTTAGCCAAACAATCTGGCTTTAATTCAATCACTTTTTTTATTAATTAATAGTTGACAAGCTTTAAGAACATCTGGCATACTATATGCTTTTAATGATTTATTCAATTTTGTTGACGATAGTATAACTGATGGTATTAATAAAATTTTTTTAAATAACTGTTTCATTTTGTTTGAAATAGTATCAGCCGTTGTTTGATTTGTTGTTATCTGTGACGATAGTTGTATATCTTGTTGTGCATCTTGTGTTGGTATACGATCAGGAGAATTGTTTGGAAATGCCGAAGAAATATTTTTTGTTTGATCACAAACATGACTTGAAAGAGCCATTCGACGCGACTGTGACAATAATACTGGAAAAAGTAGTTAAATTTAAAGTTTTACATCCTTCAAGCCCTGTAATGTGGAATCAGATGAAAATCTTGAGAAGTTTTCTTAGTAAACATTGATATAAGTCTTTTGAAAAAAACAGCAACAAAGGGTGGAACAATTTTCTTTTTTCGATTTTTGATCATTCTACTCATCCAAAAAAGTTGAGTCGGCGAGTGCCAAATCGATTCTCGAATATCATTGCTCATTCGGCCGTATCATTTAGCATATCACAAAATCAGTTCGCCACTCGCTGATCCGATCTTTTCAACAAATCCGGGGTGATCTTTATGTTTTTGGATATCACGGATAAACTTTACTGTTCTGATTATCTGAGACACTGCATTTCTTAAAAGGTTACAGATTATCAGAATAAGTAGGCCGGTCGGACAGCATCGCGGTTTTTCGGATATTTTGGATAACCTTCGATAACCTTCCTTTCTTTTATTATTATCCCGCATGGTCAGTTCCATTAATTGACTGATTTATTATTTATTTATTACACACTCATCCTAATCAGAATGTTGGATAGCCACTCAACGTTTCTGATGAGTCTTCGGACCCATCGTAGAATATCTTTTATCTTCTAGGATAGTAAGAAAAGAACAACTAAGAAAAATATTTTAAAGTTTTGATTGTAAGAAGCTTGTTTTTATGTATTACAATTTCGAACAGAATTCCCATAGTTTCAAATTTTTCGATAGTCATAGTTAAATTATCCCAGATTATCGAAAAGCGGGCAATCAGGGATAGTCTTCTACTTCATGGGGTCATCCATGATGATCCCGACTCTACTCAATGGGCAGTCGGACCATCTGGGTGGATTAAAAAACTAAAACTCGTCCAAAACGTCCAGGAAAAAAGACCATTCAGGGTCATCCTATAACTATGGGGTGCATGCAGATCATTCTGGATTGTCTTTTTTTCGGATCCTACAAAATTTCCATGAAAAAGATGATTAACAATGATGTAGCAATAATAAAAACAATGCTGGATCATCCAAAACTTTTGCACATCCGGGATAATCTCTCAATTTCTTTTTTTACATAAAAGACTCTCTCAGACTATTCAAAAAACATCATCCTGGATTGTTCGTTTAACACTCAGAAACACAGAGGATCGTCGAGTGTCATTCAGTTAATCCGAAAAAAGACAGTTTAGGATGCTTCAGATGATTCGATAAAGACAGTATGAGATGATTCTTCTGTTCAAACTTTATAAACGGACCATCCTGGATATAGCAGAAAGAAAGATCGTTCAAGATCCTTAGACCAATATGAACCATCTGTCATCATCCTTTCACGAAAAAAAGAGTAACGGATCGTCCGATACGATCCGCCTTTGTCCGATTGCTTGAGATAGTCTGGAAAATGCAAAGATTCGATTCCGTCGCTCACAGTCCAAAGTTACTTTTCCATATCAAAGATCGTCTGAGATAATTCAAATTCTTGAACTGTCCAAGACCATCCAATAGATTTGAATACCGCGGATGTCCGAAGATAGGGTCGGATAACTGTTTTTTTTTCGAACTGTTCGGATAACTGAAGAAACGGACATCTAATCGTATTCTCGGACAGTCTGAATACTTTTTTCCAATCCGTGAACAGGGTCAGATGGTTCGAAGAATTTTTTTGGTACCGTCGGATCATCTGGAATGGTCGAAAATCGAAACAATTTTTGACTGAGTTCTGTAGCAACTTTTTTTCAAAAAAATATAAATTTTGACTTTCAACATACTTTCTTGCTCAGGAGCAACTTCGACATTATCGGTACTGTTTATCAGCTGATTGTCTGTTAATAAATTATAACTTTGTACATTTTGAATGGTTATTGGTGATCGTACTGTTGAGTGTGTTGCATTATATATTGTTGATAATGATTTCGATAATAAAATAGCACCTGTCAATTAGTTAAGCGAACGAATAATCATAATAGAATTCAAGGAGACAAAATTAAAAACCTTGCTCTACTATAAAGTGGAAAAAACTGATGGAAACTACTTTTTAGCTATTTGTACGACATAAGAAACCAGAAGCACTTTAAGGAATCGATAAATCTTCTCCAATCCGCTTTCATATACATTAATACTGTTTTGTGAAGATCAAAGTTTGAAACGCCTACTTTTTCTCTGAAACAGAATTATGAACATTCAGTTTTGAAAAACCTCAAAGTTATCTATAGCGTTTTTTAATGTTCAAAAAAACTTTAGAATAGAACACCACCCTGGTGTTTTATCGTTAGCATCGTTTCCTATTCAGGGATGATCTCCTACTCTAGAATGATTGATTATTCGAGAGAGAGGACTGTCGAATCTGCTTTAATTTTCCTTGAAAATTAGCTTGGTCAGAGAAATTATTTGTTTGAAAGATTCTTCATTTCAGCAATCGAAACAAACGCTCTGACTTTTGTAAAAATAGTTCAATAAGCAAGCAAACTTACGAGATAAATTAGAGTAGCTTATACAATAAATACCACTCATCTCTCCTTTTTGGTTCTGGTATATCTCTTTAGTATTTACTTTTCGCGAATGTATGCAAGAAAGTCGATAACATTTCTGAAATCATTAGCAAACACCCAAGTGCACAAGCTTTTCTCTATATTGTTAGATTAACTGGAAGTATACCTGTCTTTTTTTCTAAAAAAGGATACAATATATTTGTTATTGAACATATCTGGTGTATCAATTATAAATAAATTATCGGAATCAGATAGCAAATTTTCGGTATAAGATTGACACCAATCACTACGTAAAAGATCATGTATATTAGGTGCTGGTGCTGATTGATTTTGAGCTAAAAAGATCGATAACTTAGTCTTTCCATCACTTGAGCAACACAGCAATCATGAAGAAACCTGTATAAATGAGATTTTGTAGCGTACAAACTGATGAATCCTTTGACCGACATATCAGAAAAAATGTTTGCGAAGTAGCATAGATTTTTTTTTTACAAAACTCGGCATTGAGACTTTTTTTCTACATTAAATTTTGATTTTTTTTTGAAAAACGTTAACTTTCTCGAAGAAAAGCAATATCTTGAAGATCAGCAAGCTTTTCAGTGAACTGGCTCAGTTTTGGTTCAAACTGAGGATTTTTAAAAAATACCTATTTACTTGGTCATAGAAAAAATTTTCTCGGTTGAGCGTCGCCATGTAAGAAACAAAAAGAGTCGCTATTACTCACTATTACTATTTAATACCGAATAATTTCTTAGTCGAAGCAAAAATGAGGTTTAAGCTTATTAAGTTCCTGAAGTATACCTTCTTTTGGAGTGTGGTTTATTTTTAACATTTCTGATTTTAGTTCTGGAATCCAATCATGTAATTGTTTTACTTTTTGAATACCACAATCAGTTAACATTACTGTATCTGAAAAATCTTGATTATCTTCAAATTCTTTTATGTAACATTCCAACGTTATTTTATAGTCACGAATTAATAAATCATTAAATTCCTGTAGTTCATTTATATCAGGTGCTGGTAAAGTTTTCATCCAAGATTCTATAGTTCGTGCTGCAGTTTTAAGATATTTATCAGAAATCAATAATTTTTTCCTTTCCAAACATATTAATAAATTTTTTACATCTATATTATCACGTACAGCATCTAGAAAAATTCAGTTTTATTGATAAGGGTAGTTAACTATCGCCGCGACCCACCTTCAACAGCAGTATGCGAAAACTATTTCTTTTCACAAGGTTCAGCATCGTTACTTTGGTCTTGATTGAAGATGAGACCAATAGTGGAGACCTGTGGGTTTCAGTCGCCAATCGAAATCTTTTGGCTGACTCGTTCGAAATACTTTTTGAGCAAATTTTAGTTCTTCTTAAGCGCTTTTAAATAGAGAAAACGTTTTGAGCGTGACATTCCACTGATTTGATCTTTATTCCTTAGTTTAACAAAGAAAACTCAATATTTTTAATAACTTTTTTAATTTTTTGTCACAATCAATCAAGGAAATTTCGAACTCTGATAACTGAAACTATTCGGAAAATTTTCCTAATTTTAACACAAAAAAAGTTTTAGACATGCCATTAACGTTCACTTTGAAATATCTAATAGAATTCCAGATTTTAAAAAAAATTAAAAATCTTACTGAGATTTAGATTTGTTATGCTTAACACGAAAAACTTCTAATCCTTTGTTACTGAGCAACAACTTGAATACACTGCTTCGTACAAAATATCTGTTGACTTTAAGCGATCTCATTGATTTTTTAGCCAAACTTTATCACCTTATCAAAGTCAATCTCACCAAGCAACTAATTTCACTTACTTTTGAACGGATCATCCTTTGCCAAACTACTCATTGAAAAAACATTGAATTTCACAGAACGAAAAAAAACGTGTTTTTTAATGCGGACTGGGGGATTCGAACAATCGTACATTAGTCTACAAATACCCCCATGAACGAGAGTTTCATCTCTAGCGGTCCGGACAGGGTGCGAACTTTCCTGAGACTACCAAGATTCAGTTTTTTTAACTTTTTCAAGCGCACAAAAGACTTGAATTGTAGGTTTTCGATCATACTGAATCTCGTGACAATGTTTTAAAAAGATCGGAATCATTCTAAACCCGATTCCAGCTATGACAACGGTGGTGAAAAATCATTCTTACTACTTGTTAAACGCCATATTAGCAAGTGCTAAGGCCAAAGAGAACATATATATTACTTATAATTAATTAGCACAGTTAATGTGTTATATATATAAGAGTTAATAAAAAGTAAAAAAATGAATAAGATTTTTTTTTTTCTAGTTTTATATATTTTCTCTCTTATACAAATATCACAGAGGAGCGCTTCACATTATTCTATAAATGATCCGAATGATTCAATGATGCGAATGATTCGGTTTGATCCGATTGATTCGTTCATAGTTTTGATAGCTTCGCTTAGTCAAGAGCTAAAACGAAAACAACAAACTGGCTCGTCTTTCAAACAATATCCGAGTAAATGCAAACTTTTTCTTACAACTAATAAACTTTGACACATGCGTTTTTTTTCAAAATCACAGCTGATGGCCTTTTTACTTATTAAACAGCAACGTTGAACTTGCATAGTCGCAAAAATAAGTTTGTCCAACTTACACGATCTGGTGGTGATAATTTTTGTCGTTCTTCCCAAGTAATCATATGATGTTTAAATACACAATGTCGACAATCGGGGCCTCTTTACATAAAGGCTTCCACAGCATAAATGACATGATCGGTCAAGCATAATCATTTGAAGAAAAATGAAAGGATATAAGTAAACATATTTGACATCTTGTTTAATAATATTGAATCATATATTAGCAGCTACTGTCTTTGCTGGACAAATCCGCCTTCACTTTGACCAACAATTTTTCGGACCATTCAAGAAGCTTGCTTCTTTTCTCCAACTGCATTTCCTCCTCGCATACCCTTGCCTCTTCAACCAGATATGTTGCAATTTCTTTTGTTAATCGTTTCAACAGGTCTGCGTCAAAATCAAATAGCATCTCAATTTTTTCGTAGTCAACTGCCCAGCCGGCGTGTAACGACGTATTTGAGCAATAAATAAACGCCATATATAATTGAGTATAACCATGTACAATAGGAATCACTTCCCGACCTAGGGTACCTGATGCGATCAAAAATATCTTCTTGTCACATTCACTTTTGAGAAACATTATGCACTCGTTTGCGTCAGTAAAAGTCTTGAATGGGTGTTCGCGGAATTTCTCTTTCAGCGATTCATTGTTACCTGGTACACCAATGTGCTCATCAAGCCAAACAATCACATGATTTGATATGGAGGTATCACACATTTGTGTGTGTAGAGTGCCTCTGACAAAGAAGTAGAGTGAATCTGATAAAAAAGTCCATAAAAAAAGTCCTATTTATATTGCTTTCAAAACACTCTGTGAAACAAAAGAAAGTAAAAATACCAGTCATTCAAAAGTTCTTATCTTCATCGAACTGTTATACGCGAAAAAATCCACACTTAATAAACTGTTTGTTTACTCATATGATTTCACCCAATAGACATTGGAAAAAACTTTGTAGCAAGGAAGAGAAACTGAATTTACTTCTTTCGGTAAAGACGTGCGTGATTCATTCTTAAATGCCGTACGATTTGATTTGCTTAAAGGAAAAGGCGAATCATTGCTCCTTCCGAATTCGAAAAAGAATGAAAACTAGTTCTGAAACAAAATTCCACGAAGTCTCGTCCACTTAGCGCAGGAGTACATTATATTTTAAAAATTTATTCTATTGCACGAAAACCGAAGTCAGCCGTGTAGTAACGACTACTCTTCTTCGATAACATCCAAGGTATTTAGTAATTCAGTTTAAATTTATTCGTCGTGCATTTATAAATATTAGTCTAGTGATTATGCCGATTATCGAAAGGGTACCAAAGTATCTGCTCATCCTAGCCGTTGACGAATGAAAAGAAAGTGTGGAAACCTGTTGTAGGTCCTGCACTTCAAAATCATCTTTGGTGTGTTCTATAGCGAAGCTTTTTGTCTCATGCGCATGAGCAAGCACATACCTCAACATTTGTCTCTATGCACATTAATTTCAAAATGCTTGAGGTATGTGCTTGACTTTCTTGTCTCATGTGCTTGAGTTGCTTGAAGTATGCGCATGAGGGAGAAATATCTAAAACAATGTGCACACCTCCAAAAACTCATGTGCAAATCTTAAGAAAGTCATGCACTATCAATTTTTCGCTTTGTAAATAGCTCTAGCTTTTTTTTAAACTTGATTACACCATGTTTTACTCGGACTTTTCTTCAAGAACATGGTGCAACTAGGTGTTTTAGTCTTTTGCGACCATCTGGCACTTTCACCATGCCATTATCTTTATCTCCAAAGGAAAAGAAGTCATTTTCAATGGAAAGCTCATCACAGTTACGCAGCAATTTTTGCTTTCTGCTATTCACTCCACCCACTAACAACATCATGTTATCTTTCGTTACGTAATGCAGTTTTTTGATAATCTGTGATGTGTTAAAATGTCCCCCTCAGATTGACTAAGCTTGCTCCGCGTTGTATTCCTCAGTTTTGGTTCGACATGTGACTGGAATTTGATCTCAAAATAAAAGTGAGAAAGACTCATGTCTTTTAATGCTCGCCGGTGAGTTTTACCGATAAGGTAACGTTTACCGCAAGTGGAGAAAACATTCACGTTTGGACCACCAGAGAAGCGTATCCGCAAATACTAGACGCTAATATCGATTCGTTGCTAGAGCCAATCAAGCATCTTGTGAATGAGGCGGTATAGCTTGGCACCCGATCCTCTGTGCATCAAATAGGACCAAACTGATATTTGTACATCCTGAAAGCCGCTAACGGCAAAGCGATCTTACACCGAGGAAACGGACAACTGTGATGATAAACATCAACCATTTGATGCATGTCTCACTTTTGTGCATTTTTATTTGAAGATCTTGCACAGTCAATATCTTTAACTGAGCTTATAAAATGGAGAAAGGGATCTTAGATTCGGTACATTATCTGAGAAGAACGATCTTTCAAAACTGTTGATGAGAAAGATCGTACAGTTTTGTGACAAGAAAATGAAGGACGATTTAATTCTCTATTTTCCTTCGTCTAAAATTGCTGTGCACTTATCTTGAAGTGAAAGGTTCAAATTATTTAATTTTTTATACTTTTCTATGACGAATCAGTAAGAAAACACCGGTTAAAACATGCAAAAAATGCGAGCAAAAATAGTCTTCATCTTCACAATACGTTAAAAAAAGAAGAAATGGCTGTACAACATGCATTACAGGGTGCGCCAAAAAAAAACTTACCCCTTTTTGAAAGATTATTTCTGCCCCTCTAGAATTCACTTTTTGGCCCAGTTCTTTTTGTGGTAGATAGAGCTGGGAAAAGCCTACTAGATAGATATATTTTTATTTTTAAAACGTTCCACCGTAAGTGGGACAAAAAAGAAATTCATTAAATATGAAATCTGTGCTGGAACGGTATCCCCTTACCGGAAAGCAAAAAGATATCTCTCACCAACAATTAGTTTTGGCTTGAAATTTGGCGTAGCTATAGACAGACGTGTCCACTCCATTTCTATATATTCACATAGAAAAAACGAAATCAAAATTTCGAATTTTATTGCTCAAAAGCAAAGCGAAAAGACAAGAAAATCAAGCGCATGGCATATGCAAGCGCTTGAGATAAGCATCCCATGCGCATGAGTTTCTTGAGATACGAAACTCAAGCACATGAATCTAGAAAGTCAAGCGTGTGACATCAGAAAAAGATGCGTTTCCCATGAGTACGAAATGTTTCCACGCCATGAAATTCTTACTCAAGAAATTCAATAAAGTCATGCGCTTGAGAAAAAAAGCTTCACCTCTGGATATGAAGCAACGAACTAACGGCCAATTGGAGACATTGTACCTCTTACGGTTTTTGCAATTGAAGTTGATTTTCACCAACTCATTTCTAGTAATATTAAAGCTGAAATTAATACCTTTCAAAATACGTATTCGGAACTGAGTGATGAGACGCCGTTACTAAGATAACAATGTTTTTCAAAACAAACAATTGCTATAGAAACGGACCTCGGGTTCTAAGAATTTCTGTAGCAATACAAGAATTCTTAATACAATTTCGGGTCTTCTATATAATGCTGGGATGGTCTGTAAACTCTGAAAATGCCTTTATCTAGTTCTGTACTGGGTATATTTGCGAAAATCAACTTCACTCGTGGATCAGGAGTAGAGATGTGTGTGCACGGGTACGATTTTCATACCCGTATCCGGCCCGAAAATTTCATTTTTACCCGTACCTGCACCGTAGTACCGGTACCCGATCCGTACCCGCAACATTGTACCCGTACCCGAAAACGCAAACGTGCTAAAACAATACATATATATAACTTTATCTTATAACTTTATGATAGAACTTTATTTTTAGAACTATACTGAAGTGTACAATACGTTTTATGAGAAAAATATATGTGACTGAATTTTTGGACTACAGCTAATTATACATATATGACACTGACGTATTTTCATTGTTCTTGAAAATATTTGTTTCATACCTTCAGAACAGAAATTGAACATATACGTTATTGTTTATTATATAAACCCACTTACATTTTTCGACCGATATCGTCTGACATATGAAACAAAGCATCTCACAGAAAAATGAATATGTCAGTTTGTTATATATTTTCTTATTTGATTTATAACTTCGAGACTGAAGCGAACTAATAACATTAGATTTCCTCGGGTATAGTCTAAAAAAATCTAACCCGTACCCGACGCTTTCGTACCCGTACCCAGCCTCCGGGTCGGGTTGCACATCTCTAATCAGGAGAATGCATTAGTGGATTTCGAGCCTGTCATAGTCGTAGTTTACCTTGTCTATGTGATCACGTACCATTTGTTTTAGTTCATGACAGAATTGGTGATCAGCAAAAAAAATAAAATGAGATGTTGTTCCTCATTATTCATTATGACTCCAGCATATACTAGACATTAACGGTTGTTGGATGTTTCCCAGCCGTCATGAGAAAAATCCTTCTTACTTATCATCAAATTTGAAAAATTTTTTTTTTCGATAATCATCGTGCAGCCCTCTTCATAGCCATCGTGAGTATTAATTTATTCATTTCGCACTTGAAAGAACTGTTTTTTGTTGGCATCGTGGTTCCAAATTTGACAATTTCACGCCGTATTTCTACCCTTTTTATCTGGCTGCTCGCGCCATCTAAATCAAACGAAACGATAAGGTCTCTTATTCTGATAAGAGCGCATCTTAGAGGAATATAAAAGTGTTATATAATCAATACTGCACTTTGACAGTTCATGATTTATCTTCAATATAAAACCGGTTCACCTTCTATGTCGAATTCGTCTCCCAACACTTTTCAATAACTTCCTTGTTTTCAGAGGCCAGTTTACTTCGAAATATTATTTTGTCACTATGAAGCGAAGGGTTCATCTTACCAACCGCTTGAAAAAAATATTCATATGGCCGAAAAAACTAAATATCTTTCTGAGTCAGGTTAATAGATTCAGGAGTATTCCAAGAGGAAAGATGGATGAAATATCAGCGGGCACGTTTAACCGAGGGTGAGCACACCGCACGAAAGTTACACCAGTCTATTTCTCTCCCTATTTTATGTCATCAACTGTTTATCGTGTAAATCACCTTTCTTATAGTTTTTTCCTTTCTTGCACTTTGTATAGTGACGCATGTTTACTGTTCCATGATATGACGAAAAAATGAGTATTTCTTTCAGGATTTTTCTTTCGTCTCATTAATAAATAAAGCAGTGTCAGAATTTTGTACAGAAAGAGAAAAAAAGGACCTTGGGGCTTCTACGATACGCAAAAATATGCATAAATGCAAAACAGAGACATGAAACAGCATAGCTGCCAATGAAGAGTAAGAACGTTCTATCATATGTAACAGATTAAGTAGAGCTATGTACTACAGTCTGTAATAATATAATTTCACTCGATGCAAGGCACTTACATCCCATGTCCTCAATATCGGCTAACTACCGCGCGCTTAATCATCGGTTATCGGCCAAAAATACCGCTTGAAGGTATACTGCCAGCAAAAGTGAAATTACCGGACAGTAACGATGATGCCTGTCCGGTATAACCGGCAGCACCATCCAACATTTTGTCATCATGACCACGAACAACAGGATCGCCAAATTAATTTCCAACTTTAGGTATTTTTATTCTTGAGCGCTTGTAAGCGCAGAAAGGTCACCGACTGAGAGAAATTGGACGCGAATCGAAGTTCAAACTTCGACGACTCTCTAGAATCTAAAAGAAAAGTT